GCCGTGGCGTTTCCCCCCCCCAGCCCCTTACTTTGCGGTAGCGGACGCCGAGGCGCCGCAGCTGCTCCAAGCTAACGGCGTGGTTGGGCCGCAGGCGGTGAGGCGCCCGCTGGTCCTCCTGGGACTCGTCCATGTACCACGCTTCCACCATTGCTCCGCTCCGCTGGGCCGGACTGCGCTGAGCGGGAGTGGCCCGGCCCGGCAGGGGTGGAGGAGCCAGGGCAAGGGCCGGGATGGGCCCCGCACTGCCAGCCTATGGGGAGAGCTCTCAACGGGCGCTATTTGCAACTCACAACAGGCTGAACAGGGCGCAGCAGACACAGCTGTTCCTTCAACGTACAGCTTTAGGCTCCAAGGCACGGGTGAGGAGAGCTCTCTCTGGAGGAGATGTGCCGGGGTAAAGGGCTCCTTACCGGCACAGGTCCTCTCCGGCAACGTGGTGGCTGCAGCAAACATCGCGCCTACCTCCAACAGCAACTCCATTTACATCTACGCTGCCCTGACAGTAACGATCAGTCTTAGCCTCAAAGACCTGCATTGCACCTCCACAATATGGATAAATAAAAAAATAAATTATAAATCTAAAAAATTTAAAAAGTGGTAAGACATGCTGCCCAGAAAGCTAGTGTTGTCTCCATCCATAGAGATACTTTATCCTGAGCCACCTGCTCTGGGTGCCCTGCCTGAGCTGGGGTGGACAGTCCTCTCCAGCCTCTCCCATAAGGTTCTATGATTCCATACTGTAAATAAACCAGCAGCCAGCTAAACACAACTGAAAAAGTAACAAGCCCTCATTAAACATTTTTCTTCCCAAGAAGTCTCATACTTATCAAAATGTCTCAACCACTATTTCTCAGATTCTTAGAAATGTTACCAGCTCCCTTTAACATAGAGTATTCAATGCATAAGCACTACTGGTTACCTATTTTGGATAAAGTTTAATTGCAAATTCCATGAAATTACAGGTAAGCGAGTCTAATGCTGGTATTGTCCACATTTAGTTTTAGAAGCACATACAAACCCAGACAGAAGTTCAATGCCTATCCTGAATGTCATGGCTGCTGAAAGGCAATACTTTCCTTAAATTTCACTTCCCTGAGAAGAATGACTTGAACAGCGAATATCCTCTGTGGGTCAAGCCCCTGTTAAGCCCTGATGAGCAGTATTATTTGCTTTCCATCCCTTAACCAGCCTTAATCTTGTAACTTTCAGCTTTCTTTTTTCCTGAATTTCCAGAGTAAGAATGATAAATATTGGTATCAAATTAACATAAAACTCTTTCCTATTAGATTTCCTATTATAATCTACCTATTAGATTAATATTGGGTGGTAAAGTTCCTTAAATTCAGTATTACAATAATGTTATGTTTTATCCACTGTTATCTACACTTTTTCCAAAGCTGCTTCTTCAAAACCTACATTTTTCCCTACAGGAAATAGGATCTACATGATTAACTGGAGACATGTGACAGGCATACTGTTAGATGCCACCTCTTAAGTACATTGTTATATTGTTCTGCCTCAACTAGAGATCTCATCAGGGCTGATGAGACATTTTCCTTCAAGCCAAACTTCCAAAATAAATAAATAAATGGATAAGTGTGTGCATATATACAAAAGAAGCAGAGGGGGAAATCTCATCAGAGCACTTACCTTACCTTCAGTGTGCAGTTTTGGAGAGAAAACAAATAAAAAACTCCACATCTATTAAATAGCCAACCAGTTTCCTCATTCTATCACAGTTCATCCGACTCTAGATACATAAGAGCTCATACTTTGCATCAGTAAATACATTATAATGCACGAGAACTATTAAGAAATGAAGCTTCAGCAGCTCTGCCATTTAGTTTAGCAGTTAACAAATACAAAAAAAATACAGTGACTTCTGGCTTAAGCCAATGGTATGAAGGTACCTTACAAACTTGACAAAGATAGCATACCAAACCTCTTCGCTCTTTCCATATAGATTCATAAAAAATAAAGCTATGTTGATTACTGGTAATTACTCTCTAATTCAAGTGCACATTAGCCATTCCATTAATTTCATAATTGACTGGAAAAAATTAAGTCAAACACTTGACATCCGGAAGATCTGGAGAAGCTGCTCATCTTCTAGTTCCATTTCAGATAAAAGGAGCAATTATTACCTTTGGGACAACACTGAAGAGGAACTAACAGTGCTAACAAGAACCAGTATGCATAAAAAAATTAATGGAAACAGGAAGCCAGAAATAAAAAGCTTGGACATTAAGCAGCTAGAGAACAGTAAGAAATTAATTGTTCAAGTTTTCTTGTGACCTGGCTTTCTAGTTTGTCCATGTTGCCTTGCAAAGTAACTATAAAAATAAATCCACAGATGCTGTAACTGATAGTACTGAGAGGCACAGGCAAGTGTTACAAGCCCATCCACGCAGACATTACTGCTAGTACCAGAATGCCAAACCGTATTAAGAGACATCTCCATGTCAGAGGTCACTGACCTACCAAACCAAACAACCCCAAATCCTCTCACCCCCAACTATCATGAGCTGTTAATATGCATTTCTGTAAAAAAAAAAAAAAAATTTATTTCACCAAGAGGAAAATACAGAACACTTAGGATAAAGATTTAATATTACTTCTTCAGAAGTCTGTCTTTACAGTAAATTCAGAAGTCTACAAGACAGCTAAAAACACTGATCGTGGCCCTTCAGTAAGATGGAGGAAAAGCAAACGCTTTGTATCATTAACTAAATATTGATTTGACTGCAAAACAAATGGTATACAAGAAAATGTGGGTGTTTTTTTTCTTCCCAGAAGTTGGTATATGTTTAACACTTCAGGCCAGAAAGAAGCACAGTTCAAAGTTCAACTCCAAAGCAATTACAGCAGTTCAAGTTGTCACTGTGATATTAGTCCTTTTTCTCCTACTGCAGCAGTCCCAGTATATCAGGGCTTTTACTAGCTCCTTCTCTTGCTAGTCTATCAGCTTCTTCATTTCCTTGGAAGCCAGCATGACCAGGAACATGCATCTGTTAGGACAAAAGCACAGGAGCATTAGATATACAAGAAATCAAAAGAAAAGTACATACCTGAAACCTGACCATACAACACCCTTTCGTTCACAGTATAGCAGCACCTCCTTACATTTAGGCACTCTCCTCACATTTAGTCCTCATGTGTTCCCTGGAACGTTCACAGTCTCCCTTCCTCTAGTGAAGTCTTGCCAAATTGTGAAACCACCTTTATGAGAAGTACTGAACTGGATAAGGATCACCTAACCTAGCCTAGCCTTTAAGAAACGCAGAGAACAGCTCCAAATGAAAATCCTCACAGAGACAGAGAGCCTCTCTGCATTCAGTGCTTAAGTCAAATTAATATTTTCCCAGAAAGGCAGAGATTTCTATGCTGTTAACAGCCTTGGTGGTTACAGCACTCACTTAGGATACCAAAACAGGGTATGAAAAGAATATCTTGATTTTCAGATGTCTTAACTATCCATCCTTCAACAGCTAGGAACTGAAAACACTTTCAACCCTAAGCCCATCATTGTCAGAAGCGAGGGTGGAGGAGTGTGCGGGAGGAAGGAAAGGAAGAAAATCAAGCTTGCTATTTGACAAGATCTGAGGGGACAAGCATGAAGTGCACACGGTATTAGGCTTATACAGCAAGGTTTTGGTAGGAGTGGCCTCTGTGAAAAGACACCAAGGGCTGCCCCTGCATCAGAAAGAGCCAATTCCAACCAGCTCCAAAATGAACCCACCACAGTTGAGCCCATCAGCAAAGTTTGTGGCTCCTCTTAAACATATTCAAGTAAATGCCAAAAATGCTGCACAGCAGCTGTGAGAGAAAAGAGTGGGAAAAAAATGTGAGAGAAACAGCCTTGTAGACACCAAGGTCTGTGAAGGAGGGGGAGGAGGCGCCCCATACACTGGAGCAGACTCCCCTGCAGCCTGTGGTGACCATGGTGAAGCAGGTTGTCCCTTTGGAGGGCCACGCTGGAGGAGATCTCACAGGGCAGTGCATGGAGGACCCCACACCTCTGCAGGTGGATTACTCTAATGAAATGCCCGCACACACTGCTCCTCCTGAAATAAAACATCTTCCCAAGTTTAAGAGATTCAGATAAGCGTGCATAAAGCAACAATATATCTTTTAAAATTATGTAAAATACTCTAAGAACAGGTAATCTTTAGTCTTAGTTTTAAATTCTTACACTTTATTAATAGACAACAGGAGTAGTTATATAAAATTTAGTCAGCCTTTAAATTGGAGCTGCCAACTCTGGGGAGACAGAACATGAATGGAAAAATATCTGAAATAAGTTTCCCATAGAAAGAGTGCACATTAAAGAGCCATTCTGTTTTCTACAGAATAAAAACAGAAGCCCAATAAATATGCCATTAGCAGCCACAAAGTTAATTGTACAGAGATTTAATTCTAGAACCAGTACTTTCCTACCACAACTAGAGTAAAATTCAGAAGCAGGGAAGATATTCCCTACGATGTTTAGCACTGATGTTAAAGGTTACAGAAAAAATACGTTTTACCAGGAATACCTGTGCAGAGGTTGTTTTACTACTTTACTAAAGAGCCAAACAATTCAACACTTAAAAACTGGTATTTCAAAGAAATTTCTTTGCCAAATTTTCTTGTAAAAAAAACACAGTTAGGGTAGAGAAAACTAGGGTTAGTTTATTTGGGGTTATGATCTCCTAGTTTTCCCTGCTGAAAGACACCCAAGTGATTGAGTTACACCAATGAACCAGCATCTTAAGTGTTCAAATCCAGAAACTGAGCTATGACTCAAAAAGACAGTTATGCTTTAAGCTTAGATTTGCAGGAACAAAACTTTTATCTACTAACAGTACTAAAACTAAAAATAATTACTGCAGGCATTTTCCAAGTAGTAACAAGAAAGAGCAAACAAATATAAACATGCATTTAAATGAATTAAATACTGGCTCCAAGAGCCTAGGCTATGTTGCTTATTTGGTTTAAATAAAACAAGTAGCTTCTCTGTATGCATGGGTTTAATTATGAATGTAAAATAATATGTTTTATAAAGTTCTTAGTTATGGTCATATTTGTAAGCTTTTACAAGAAGTGTTTAAGATGTCATTAAGAGTAAGAAACAAGGTGCTTACCCACTGAATTTCTATGCCTTTTGATAGATTATCAAGTCTTTCAAAATCTTCCTTATTTATTACACTTCCTCCTGAACTTGTTCTCCAGCCATTTGTTTTCCAGTTGTCAACCCAGCTTGTAATACCTATGCAAAGGGAGCATTAACACAAAAATACTATGAAAGAAGCCAGCAAGGATCAAGTTGGAGCTAAAAGCCTTTTAACAAGACATTAACTCCATAAAAAGTCTCAGGCAAAGACACTGGGGATAAAAGACATTTTTGTAGGCTCTCTACTACTGTCTTTCAGGATCGTGCTTTTCCATTATTACTGGAATTACCCAACCACATTCTCCTGAACAGATAATGAATGTAAGGACCACAATCTTATATACACATTACACACAAAATCACAACATGTACTTCAATAAACTGAAGCTAAAGATTGCCCTGATGGTACAGTAAGCTGGAACAAATCAATGGCTTTGTTTTGAAACTGAGAAGAAGCACGGTAATAGAGGAAAAGCAGATGGCCACCTGTCTTACAGCTGCTGCACACTAACTAAAATCCTTCAGAGAAGGACCACATAAGCAGATTTCTACCAAACAAGATTTAACATTTTGGCCATCCCTTTCTTGACAGAAAATGTACTACATTACTCCTTAAATAAGGTTTGGGTTTTTTTTTAATCTTTTTGCTGGTCTTGACAGTGTAAGACATTCCTACTGCTTTCACGACAGAACTGAACTAAACAGAGAATCGCCAACCTTGCACACAAAACCTCCTAACAACTAAACCACACCCATTTGTGCTTAACCGAGCCTCCTTCTCTCACATTTTGAAAAATAACTCTTAGACATATCTACAAAATAATTTTGATTAAACACAAGTAGAACCTGCACTTCAGTGATCCAAAATGCAAGAACAAACTGCAAGCAAAAGCAATGAGACTAAGACATAGCATCTAAAGAGTCTTATTTTCTTCTCTCATACTTAAGTCTCATGCTTAAATTTAACACGAATTTTATTCAACACAGCAACTTTTCCCCCTTCACCACACCAGTTTCACATACAAGATGGCATAGACTTTTCTCCCACAAAACAAAGAACTGCAAAGATTTTTCTTTGCTCCTTAATGAACAACTTTCTTCTTTCAACAAATTATGCACTTGGATTCTATTTATCAGCATGCAACACTCAGTTCTGAAGAGTAGATACTCTTGCTTTTACACTTCCCTTTTTCAGAATGCTTCTGGTATTCGCTCCAAAGTGATCTGGCAATAGCTAGCACATGTACTCCCTTTGCAAAAGTGTGAAATACAAAGAAATACTTATGCAGTTCAGAATTATCACAGGAGTAAGAACTGAAGATCTGGGGGAAAGGGGAAGAAGCATTCAGAAATTAAGTCTTACTGGCTGTTTCATGTGGTATTTCTAGGAAATAAAATCAAGTTCTCCAAATTTTTGGATGTCTTAAATACAGACTCTGAGCATTTATCATCTAGTCTAGCCTGAAACTTTGCAAGTGTAGTCTACATGTAAAAAGTTAGGAAGTTTGAATATACTTCACCTTTGTGTATTAAGACAGTGTCTCCAATCCAAACAAAACAAAACCCTACAGGCTCACTATACCAACTTCTGAGTATTTTCCTGTGTACATCCTTAACAGAGTGCACATGAACATTTTTTCTTGACTTTGTGTCATACTGAATGCCTTCAGACAAAAACTCTTCAGCTACTTCTGTCATTCTTTACTGTAATAGGCACTTTGACTCTACTTGTATTTCATACTGTTAGCAGGTAATCCCGGTCATATTCTGAAGTTTTCCCCAAACAGTCATGAGTACTGAAATGATGCATTCTCTTCCATATAATCCTCTCCCCAGGCCTCAGTATGTGCTGTGGGTCTTATGTAATGAAATCAAATACTGTGTGTCTTTAAAAATCAGGAAAACTAAAATCATTAACTTACCATTAATAGTGAACTTGCTATCAGTGTAGATAATTAGTTTCTTGATGTTTTGACTCTTTGCTTGCTCTATTGCTCTGCAGGCTGCCTTAAGAACATTTCAATAGAATCACAGTTCAGAAGAGGATTTTGAACACATGCAATTAAAATACTAGCAAAGCACCTGATGCTAGCACAGAACTGCACAGAATATTACTGTCATCTCTCCATCAGTGAGTACCAACATTCTCTAGAACAGAGGTTCCCAAAATTATCCATACAATCACTTAATGAATCAGGCAAACAGGAAGCCACCTAAGTTTCACTGGCGAAAAAAACCCACAAAAATTCTGATGCCCAATTCTGTACTGCAGGCACAGCCTTCTACCCAATTTCCTGTCAAAGCCTCTATTAACTGCACACCAAGTTTTAGGCATTTTCTCCATAACCCTGAGGAAGAGAGATTCATAACAGTTCCATCACCCCTTAAAGTTTGTTTGGTTTTGTTTCTTTGTGTTCCTGAGGTTTTTTTAGTGCTATAAAATACAGTAAGAGGGAGAAGTGTCTGGGTCTGGATGTAGAGCTGAAAAGCTCTTTAGTGACAAGTCCAACCCCTGGCATATCACCATCACCTCTGCTTGTCCCTCACCAAAATAAAGTTCCTGCAGTCTTTAAGCAGTACCATAATTAAGATAAGGTGAGAAGGAAAGGCTAAACCTGCTGTTGACAACAGACATTTACTTCAGCAGTAACAGAAGCTTCTCCTGAGACCCTAGAATTGTTAGTTACATTTACCTAAGGAATATGATACTCTGATCCTATCACAACAAGAAGCCAATCCTCCTCTTAACAGCTGCTCAGTAGCTCTCATCCCAAGGTCTGCAAAGATTGAGAACCAGGCTTTCCTAATGCAACGCTGTTTTAAATAGCTGGGTCTGATGATATTTGGGAAAACTCAAGGTGAATTACCTTGTTCAAAAACAGTAAAATTTGAGGAGAACTATTTATTTCAAGTCATAACTCCTGATATTTTGCGTACTTCCCCCACAGTTCCATAACTGGTTTCTGAAGGCCAGATTTGAAACAGTCGTGAGTACACTACTGAGGTCTAACACACAGAAGCATTTTAGGACATTTACTACTTACATGTATTTCTGCTCTTTGATTAGTCTGCCGTCCGGGAAGTCTTTCACTGGTATTTCTGTGTCCAAGGAATGAATAGAAGATTAGTTACCTCAAATATTCAGAATTGTGTATAATGACTACATATTAGAAAAATAAATACAAGAAAGCCAAATTTCTTTTTATAAAGGAGGATAGATAGATAGAGAGCTCTAGCTCTGTTTTCCACCAGCATAGTGCAACCTGCATATCGGGACCTGTCATCAACACACTATTGTATTTGTTATCTTCTTAGCATACCTACACTGATACTAAAATTTTCTGCAACACTTGAATTACAGCTTCAGACCCTAAAAATATTATTTCCAGTTGATTTCTCCACATTCTTACCTCCCAGAGAAGCTAATTTCTCTTTACCCCTCAGTAACTCATTAGTCTCATAACACTGTCATTCTGAGTCTCAACAGCAGGGTTCCATACTCAAAAGCATGCTGGTATTGTAAATCACACACAATACAGTAGTGTATTAAAAAAAAATAATAATCCATGCAGCTACTTACAAAGGGTGACCTGGTCCCCAGTAGACACCTATTCCAGCACGTGCCCTGTTACGTCCGTTACCTGAGCAACAACCATCTGTATAAACGACTGCAAAGTCACCTACAAAAGAATTACCAAACCCTGAAGTTCAAGCACTCCTTCAAGGATGCTGGCTCTTTAACCAAAAATAAATGTTTATCAGCAGATTAATCCCCAAAACTTCCCTCCCCCGACAGCCCTTCAAAAAGTTAACTACAGAAGCCATGTAGATTAGTAATGCAGAACACCAGAACTCCCACTGCAGCTTCACACCCTCACTGCTCCCAAAACAGGCAGCCTCAGGAAGCATCTCTGCCCCATGTTCCATATTCTCACTACAGGTCCTGCCTTCTTCAATCAACATTAAGACTTCTCAGCAACATCTGCATTTGAATAGTCTGTAATTTAGACACACATAAAATCACACCTATAAAGACCAGACTAAGCTTTACACTGATACCAATAAAAGCAAATTAATATTTCACTGAAAGACAATGTCAACAAATATATCATGGCTCACATTTCCATTTTTAAAAGAAACGACGTTACACTGAGCCCTGTGCTGCCATACACAAACTTCCCTAAAAGCTTTCCAATAATTACACTCATTTCTTATGCAAGAGCACAAAGAATCAAAGAAAATTACAGCAATAATAAAAGAGCATACCCATATATGAAAATTTATCTCCACTAACTGTTGGCACTGAGTGTACTTCATCATGTTTTACACGCTTTGCAATGTGTTCTTCATCAGTAGACTGTTCATATGGCCTTTTGCATGCATTGCAACACAAGACATTTTCTTCCAGTGCCTCTCTCTGGCTAACATTTTCTTGTGTTACAGCTGGAGGACTATGTGCCTCTTAAAAAAAAATTTAAAAAAGAAGAGAAAAAAAGTTCAACTATATACAAGATCAAATTTTATTTGAAATTACTACTTCTAAAAACAACAGTTGTTTTCACCTATTAGCAACGCTAGTGTGTTAAACTGACACCAACCAAGCTATTATGCAAAAAATACTATAGTACACACGAGTCATTCTTGATCCTAGATCGAACCGAAACAGAGACACTCATGTAAAGGCCCTTAGAAAGGACACGGTAACAAGCCATGCTCTCTAAGCACCTACAGAAACACTTTCATCGCA